CAAAACGGAAAAAAAAAAAAAAAAAAAAAAAAAAAAAAACAAGGTATACCTGTATAGAGATTCCAACTCAGCTCTTTCACTGTGTCCTCATTGTATTTTATAGATGATTTTATTAGTTCATTCGACTTTGCTTTAGTAAACATTTCTCTAAGGCTCTCAGTTCTTTAGTTTCTTCCTTAAGATTGTCATTGAATCCAACACCCCCAACCTGCCTGGCCAAATTAACAAGGCATTTCACTTTTCCAATTTTCAAGAAACCCTTAAAATTATGTACATGCTCTTTCCATAGGATTCAAGCTTGAATAGTGTTGCTGTGAAAAGCACGAGAATGAATAGGATAATATATTTAACTTCAGTAATCATTTCAATACGTATTGAATACATATATATACACACATATATACGTATATAAGTATCATGTTGTACACCTTAAATGTATACAGGGGGGAGAAAAAGGCACCAGGAACAATTGAAAGCCGATTGAGAGAAGAACCACCTTTATGTTTCTCCCTTCACACCCATTCTCAGGTTACATGACAATCACTACTCTGTTTACATTGTTCCTTTTCTCTCTGGCTTTGCTGATTGCATGTGACTGAGTTCTTATAAGTTTGACAGGTATAATGCAGCTGCAGTGCATATGTTCCTTGCCCTTCCTAGCCCTTCATTTCCTTTTGTACCAGATCATCTATCACGTTTCTTCCAATATTAAAACTCTGTGGTTCTAATTTAGTGTTTGTTTACACAGAAAAAAAGGCTAACATTTTGTGGTACTCCAAGGTTTTAAAAGCATTTCACAACAAGCATTTCATTTGATCTTTAAAATTACACAAAGAGGTTAGAGGGAGGAGTTGTTATCCCCCTTTTATGGATGAGGAAACTTGCCAAGCGACTTGCCTAAGGTCCCAAAGCTAATCAGGAAGCCGGAAGACAAAACTAAAAATCAAGCTTTTGACTAGTTTCCATGTGAAGTATCTTTGGCATGACATCTTAAATTGTTTTCCTTCTAAATGTCAAAACTCTAATAGTCCATTTTAGAATTCCTTGGTAACGACATCGAGTTTACCTCTCTGAAACTTGTCATTTTTATCTTCGGAAGTTCTGCATATGTGTGTGTGTGTGTGTGTGTGTGTGTGTGTGTGTGTACATATTCATATGTATATGTGCATATATATATATATACGCAGTCGTGTTGCTTATTATTGGGGATACATTCTGAGAAATGTGTCATTAGGCAATTTCACTATTGTGGGAACATCATAGAGTACTTAAATCCAGATGGTATAGCCTACTACACACTTAGGCTACATGGTATAGCCTATGGCTTCAAGGCTACAAACTTGTATAGATGTTACTGAATACTATAGGCAATTGTAACAAATGGTAAGTATTTGTGTATCTAAACATAGAAAAGCTACAGTGAAAATACAATATTATAATCTTATGGGACTCTGTTGTACATGACTGATCAAAATGATGTTATGAGACATTAGTGTACATATATACGTATATATAAAATATTGTGAATTTTAGATGATTTCTGTTTCTTCTTCCTACCATATGGTTATTTTATTCAGTAATTCTTTTCAAACATTTGTTTAAAATTTTAAAAATTTGTTTTGGTACTTTTAGTAGAGCCCAAGAGCAGCATTCATATTTTCTTATCTCATATTTCTAAGAGGTAAAGTGAAATATTTATTATTACCCATTATTTTACAGTGTGTTATTTATGTCTTACAGGCAAACAACAATCATTTAAAAATGTCTTAAAACTTTCTTGTAATTGTTGATATTTAAAATGTGACATCTTGATATCGGTACTTTTGATCATTCTCGGTAATCATTGGCATGGAACATCTGGTGATTGGTCCACCGTCCTGTGTTGCTGTCCTACGTGCTATGTCTTCTCACCGTGTCTCTGAGTTCCTCAGATCCTTATGTGTCCTACCACTGGTCTCTACAAATGTAGTTCCCTCTGCCTGAAAGTGTCCCTGATTCTCACCCTGGCCTGGTTTATTCCTCATCCTTCAAATATCAGTCATCCCCTGACACCCTCTTCCTCCCCAATCAGGTTCCTTATTATAACTCTCTTGGCTTAGCTCTTGGCCTGAATCTTTCATAGCATTTATCTCAGTTTTGAAATTATTCATTTACATATACAGTTATTTAAATAGTGGACTTTATCTCCTAACAGATAAACCTCATGACTATAGGAATCAGTTTGCCTGATGTGTTAAGTGCTAAATAAATCTAAATCTATTCCGTATAAATAAGTAGCTGTGTTGTCATTTATTGCCCTATGATGAGTTTGGATTATAACCTGAAATAAATGAGTCTTTTCTAATAAGTTATAGAAACCATACTTGTGGGATGGCAATCTACTAATCCAACAGTATATTCACTGGTTTTTGTTTTGTTTTGTTTTCCAAGTCCATTTTCTTTTCTTCTTTTGTGTTACTCCACCTTCTATTATCACATCATTTCTCCCTGTAGTACCTCAGTCACCAGCCTCTGTTACAACAAAGGAGGAGGCAAAAAAAGTAATAGTAGAAGTGTGCTCTATAAATAGTACTATATTGTTACGGTTTTTTTGTTTTTTGTTTTTGTCTTAACAGGATACAAATTGGCGTTTAATTATTTAAAAGCAAAAAAATATGTGGATGCAATTGACATATGTCACCAGGTAAACACTTGAATTTAGATTTTTCAAAATTATTCAGATGCACAATTTTCTTTTAGTTATTCTCAAGACGTATGTGAATAGAAGTATGGGGTGTAGTATTTTAGTTAATGACTTATCAAATACATTCTGGAGAGATGATCAATGTTCAAATTTTAGAAAAGAGTAAAGTTTACCTAAATCAAACGTGTTTTTAGTTTGGACTCAAAAAATAAAATGTTTATGTCAATTTAAAGACAGAAGCTAGCAGGAAAAACATGTAAAATAAAATTTAATCTTTAAGTCAGAAGATATTTGAAGATAGTATAGATTCTCTGGGTTGTTCTGAATAGATGTTCTTGTAAATGTCTAAGTTTGGATTTATAAATTGGAGATAAAAGGTAAAGAAATTCAGTAGTTTAGAAGTCATTCAATTACATATCTGTAATTCATTCCTTACTAAATGGTCCTCTACTAAAGTGACAAATATTTAAGGTGCACTTTTAGAATTTGCGGAGTTTCTTTATATATACATTCCCCCATTGATAGTACATATTAGGCATTATATTAAACATTGTAAAATTATAAAACATCCAAAAACTCCGTAGAGAAGAATTTTATATGCCCCATATCCCAGGCAGGTATGTGTCAACGTTTGGTTGGTCTTCATTACTGAGTCTCTTTGAAAAGCAGTATTTCTCATTAAGGTTAAGGTTGTACATTAATGTAAGGTTATACATTAGAATCATTTGTGGAGTTATTTAAAAATATCTCACCACTTCTAGATTCAGTAGGTCTGGAGATTTGTATGTCTCAAAATCACTCCAAGTAAATCTGATGTGTGCTTCTGGTTTAAAAGTCACTCTCTATGGCAGTATTAATTATCATGAACAAATAGCTAAATTACAAAAATATTTTAAATCATTGATACATAATTGTTTTCTACAACTAATCTATTAAGGAAGCAATTATATTTGTTATATTTTCTACTTGTGGTATTCATATTCTCCTGTTCTCATCTGATTACTATTAAAATAAATGGGTCATCATGTTACATCTAAGCTGTCACCTGTAAAAAGTGTTGCTGTAGTTGTAGTATTAATACAATGAACTCTCAACGGTAATGCTCATTTCTAGTAAGTTTTGTAGCTCCCTAGTTCTCAGTAATTAATTACAAGTTCTCATGGGTTTGTTTACTTGTTCATTTGTTTTTGCAGGTTCTTGAAGCACATCCATCTTATCCAAAAATCAGGAAGGATATACTTGATAAGGCCCGCACATGTTTAAGACCTTGAAAATAATAACTTTAACTTAGTTTTTTGGTTAAGGGGGAAATGAAAGAAATATAACTTTTAGTTCTTCTAATTCAGAATAGGTTTGAGCTAATGCTCTGTAATAGAAGCATACTTTTCTTTCTCCAGCAGAGGCTGCTGCTGTACATAAAGAGAAGTACTATGTCATATCAGTATTTTCTAATGTAGAAGATGAGTGAGAACTGGTCTATTTGACTCTCTTTTGATTAGATACAGATTTGGTGGCTTTGTAGTAAACATCATAACTCATTTCTGTAAAGAATATTTTATTAAAATCTAGGCAATGAAATATCCTATATCTTTTCTAAGGAATATTAGTTGCTTATTTCAGGAAATGCATTGAAAATGCATTGTTCTCTGTTAAAACTTTTTTGTTATATTCTATGTTGTTTCAAAGGTTTGAGTAAATCTCCTTGTAAATTCTTTATAAAAACGACAACATATATTTTAAATATATATTTTAATAAAGATTTTATAAATATATGGTTTATATTCCTCTTGGAACTCAAAGGGCATGGTAAGTTTTGCAAAATCAGGGTAAGCTCCCCAAGCAGTCTGCAGTGTTAATGGGTAGTACTACAGAAAATGTGACTTTCTTAGAAAAATTTTTTTTGGAAAAGATAAAGTATAAATTTCTCTTCCCATTGTTGAGCACATTCTTTCTGCTCTTAATGCCAATGTGATCTTAAGAAATAATCAGTATCTGAAAGCAGTTTAAATAGGTAAACCCTTAAAGCAATACTTAACCTTAGCACAGAAGACTAGGATTTTTAGTGTAATTTCAGACACTGCAATATCTGGTACAGAAGGATGACAGAATACTTAAGGTCATCAGGGACTCACAAGCACACCATGTGAAAGCACTGCCTAGCCAACTTTGCCTAACCACACCCTGGCATAGCAGTTCTCTGCCTTTTACATTAGATTTAACCTAATCTTAATAAACTTAATCTTTAGCATTGTTTTTAATTTCTTGTGTACATCTTTTTCAATTGCATTTAGAAATACAATAAGCACAGTCCTCAATTTTATTTGTATTTGCAATAAACGCGGGGTGTTTTATTCTATTTTTTTCTAAATCTGTTATTTAATGCATAATTAAGCATACGTATTATTATATCACAAAGCTGGATGTTTTTAAAGTCACTTGCTGCTTTATTTTGTGTTTATTTTGAGCTACATTCTCTTTTTTATGATCACTTCTCCAATTTTTCAAAGTCTAATTCCAATTATATGTTATAAAATTTTAATCATTTTTCTTTTTCACCTACCGTTTAGTTACAGGATTTCATGAAAATGTTTAATAGTAAGAGCATTTATAAAGCATTTCATATCTGTTAAAACACTTCCATTTGTCTTGCATATTAAGTTTGATCTTCACAACACTATAGGTATCATTATCCCTGTTTTAGAGATCTGGAACTATGAAAAATTATCTCTTTCTCCCTAATTCAGGGGAAAGAAACATCTTTCAGCCTGCATGGACATTATTAAGGACATGTTAGGGACTGAATGTTTGTGTCCCACCAAAAGTCATATGTTGACATCCTCATCCCTAATGTCATGGTATTTGGAGATGGGGCCTTTGGAAGATAATTAGGTCATGAGAATGAAGCCCTCTAGACTGAGATTAGTGCCATTATAAAAGGGACCCCAGAGAGCTCTGTAGCTCTCTTTCCACCATGTGAAGATACAACAAGAAGTCAGTCATCTACAGCCCAGAAGAGGACCCTAATCAGAACTCAACCATGCTGGGACCATGATCTCAGACTTCCAGCCTCTGGAAGTGTGAGAAATACATTTCTGTTGTTGATAAGCCAACCAGTTTATAGTGCTTTGTTATTGCAGCCAGAGAGGGAGAAATCACATAACAGAATGAATGCTTTTAGTAGTTCCAGTGAACTTGCATCGTGGGATGCTGGAATCTTGGAAATTGGATAGAGAAAGGAGAGCATCTGTTCTCCCAGCAGGATACTTCCAAATCAGTTTTCCTGTCTGTAAAATGAGGGTTTGTTTTTGTTTCTTAAGCAGCCATTTTGGGGGGGGGGGTTGTTTTTGTATCTGCCATTTCTTAGATGTTATTCTAGGGACTTTCCTTGCTTTATGTCTTAATTCTTACTCAGCTGTCTAGAGATATAATATTGTTATTTTTCAGATGAGGATTCCATACTGGCCCAGCCAACTTCTAAGCCCACACCTTATTTACTATGTTAAGATGCCTTCTGTAGCTAAGAGACAATGTGTCCTAAGATTCTCCTGTCTACTTCTGACTAGCAGATGAATCTAAGTGTTCTGTCACAGCAACAGCTAAGTAATGAGGAACAAGATGAACTGCATGGAATGACTAGTTCTTACAAATGTAGAAACTCACAAAGTCTAATTGGGGAGCAGTGTAGTGTAGCAGTCAAGAACATGGATCTGAAGCCACACCAGGCTGGATATAAAAGTCTTGGCTCTACTACTTATTAGATGCTTCATCTTTCTCAAGTTACGTAGGCACTCTAAGCCTCCATTTTCTCATCCATAAATAAGCATGTAAAGATGATAACCTGCCTCAGGTGGTAAGGATTAAATGATGGAGCATATATAAAACCTGTAATGAATCTGACTCACTTAGGCTCTTAATAAGTGGTAGCTCTACTTATTTATTATGAGCAGAACAAGGCCAAGTAGTAAGTGCAACTGAGAAGAGAAAATGCAGTCCAAAGCCAGATGAAAAGGACAAGGAAATGCCCCCTAGAGAGCCCAGCCATACAGGATTTCAGATTCCCATTCATTTCCTCCCTTCCTCCCTCCATACCTTTCTGTCTCCGTCCCTTCCTTTCTTCTTTCTCTTCCTCCTCCTCTTCATTTTTTCCTTCTTTTCCTCACTCCCTTTCTCCATCCCTCTTTTCCTCTCTCCCCACCCATCAAACATTGTGCTAGACTCTACATGCAGCATCTCGTTTCATTCATCTCAAGCATACTTTTGCCCTACCCTCCTCTACCTCTCTACTGTCTCTCCCTACTCACCCCCCACTTCCTGTCTCCAAGCTGCCCTCTCTAGGATTGCTTTTTCTTTTCATCAAATACTGGCTTACTACCACATCCTCAGAGAGGCCATGTCCATGTCTGGGCCCCCAATCTAAAGCAGCCATCCTGTCATTCTGTATTATATCCCCCTTTTAAAACTCTGCATGCAGCACTTACTACCCTCTGATGTTTTTCTTCTTCACTGAGGATTGGTTTATGTGATATGCCCAAGATTCCAAATCTGTGAAGGTTGGAACTCAAACTAGGCAGTCTTAATTCCAGACTGCTCTGAGATGCTACTTTTTTTTTTTTCCTTTTTGTCTTTTTTTCGTGACCGGCAACGGATCGCAACCCTCAGTGTCGCGCCCGCACCGGACCGGGACCGGCAACGGGATCGCAACCCTCGGTGTTGTGCCCGCACCTCGCTCAGCCAGTGAGCGGGAACCGGTCTGTATGTGGGATCCGAACCCTCGGCGGGAGCGCCACTGCGCTCCCAAGCAGCGCACTGTAGCAGTGCGCCACCGGACCGGCCCTGAGCTGCTACTTCTTGAAGGAACTGGTGCTCATGACATGTTAAATGAGAGTTTGGGGGTCTACACTCAATGGAAAGGTGAGGAACACAACAGGAATAAATGAATTTTCTGTAGATCTGGGATCTAGATACCATCCCACCTCTCCTCCGTCCATAGAAAGTAAGCAGTTATAAATTTAATGTACTTTTGACCTTAATCCAGGTAGTGTGGTGAACTGGGTCCCAAAAGGAAAGAGCTTTTTTCCCTAGGACTCAAGAACCTAGAGCAAATCTGGAAGGTTTTTATGCATGGAAAGCTGCAGAAGCTAGGTTGAACTTTGTACTAGGGTACAAGTAGATAATGGAATCACTATGGAAACCAAAGGACCAATTAAGAATCTGACAGAAACTATCCTAGTTTGGGATAGGAGATGGCGGGTGAATATCTTTAAAATAGAATCATGTAACAGCGTAAGTGCTGATAGAGTAGCATTTTTTTTTTTTTTTTTTTTTTTTTTTAAATGCAAGGTTGGCAAAGGTGAAGGAAACCACCACATCCACACACTGCTGGTCTAAGTTTAGTGCAGCCTTCCTGGAGGGCAATTTGACAATATGAATTAAAAGCCAGTCCTTTGACCAAGTGATCCCACTTAGAGAGATATATCATAGGAAATAAAAATTTTCTCAAGGTTTTTCATTTAAAAAAAATTGGAACAGCAAATTTTTTGCTGCTTTTCGTTATTAACCAAAACACCTAACATAAAGGAAGTGTTCAAATATATTAAGATTTATTTAATAAATGGTGTGCTATGTAGTCATTAAAAACTGTTTTCAAAGATTTTTGACTGCTAAAATTCTCACAAAATAAGCGAAAAAGCTGAAAATATAACTGTTCAAATAATACATCCAGTTGCCAAAAAATATAGATATGCATAGATAATAGATACACACACACTAAATTAGATGAAACTATCCTAATTGTTAACATAGTTATATTTGATAAAATATCTCAGAGTTCTTGTTTCTTTGCCATTGTAAAATTTAATTGCATTAAACATATATTCTACATTAAAAATAAAAGATTTTTGTTTTTTAGACAGCAGCTTTCTCAAACTTGCTTTTTGCTGACTGTTTAAAGCCATTTTGCTGAGAAAAGATGAGTAGGGAAAAAAAGCTGACTTTCAACTCAGTAGCAAAGTGTGAGCAAAGTACTCACACTTTGCTACTAATTGTTCATACGAAGTGTAGTTTGATTACTTCAATTGCTAGAGGAAAACACGCAGGAGTGTTAGCAGTAGTGATAGACCATAGGAGTTACTGAGGGGGTAGACAGAGTATCTCTTGCCAAAGTAGGAAAGGGCACAGCCTGCAGCTACAGAAAGAATTGAGAGCAAAACCAGTTCTCTGTACTTGTAGTCAATTACTCTTAAAAATAGTTTTAGTGATGATCCTACCAAATTTAATAAATAGAAGCCAGTAGAAGTAACTGAAATCTTACAGGGCCACAGCGTGTGGTTGTGCAGTGTGTGTGCTGCACAGTGACCCAGCTGAGCAGGTGGTGAATGGAGGCTGAAGTCCTCCCAGTCTTGTTGCCTGCAACTGCATCCCCTTGGAGGAAGAGTTTTCCCTTTTCTAATTTGAGCAAAGCTTTCTCGCAGGTCAGTGGTAGCCTTGTGAATGGAAGGTGAGGAACTAGACAAAGTATAGAAATATTTTTAGACATAGGGCTGAAGGTAGAGTGATGGCTATAGCAGGGTATGAGAAGTTTTTGTTTGTCTTTTTAAGATAGGAGCTAGTTGAGTATCTTGAAATATTTATAGGGAAAAGCCAGTAAACACTGAAGGTATAAGAAAGAGAAGATGGTTAAGAGTGTGGTGCTGACAACACCAAGTTCCAGGGTTCAATCCCTGTACTGGCCAGCCACCAAAAAAAAGAAAAGAAAAGAAAAGAAAACCTGAGTAAGAAAAGAGTGGAGTCCATGGGATGTTTAGAAGAATCAGAGTTAAGAGGGATGCATGATTTTTGTAAGGGGAGTGAAGGAACCAAGTAACTGCAGAAAGAGGCTCTGCATATAAAGCTGACCTCAGGAGCCCTTATGCTAATTGGCCCCAGTAGTTTTATAATAAATAGAATAAACTTTGACCTAAAAGCAGTACCACTCCTTCATATGCATAGAACCTTTGGGCCTCTGTTTCCCTTGGACTCTGCAGTGTTTATCACTTATTGCCAGGTTACTGGTTGTGGTTGCTGGAAGTCTGCCTGCCAGATTAGAGGGGGGGATTACTGTAACATAATAAATCATGATTATGAGCAAAAATGTACCATCCACCTTCTCATACTCCTCTTAAGAACCAGATGTTTTCTAGAAAAATGCTTCACTCTACAGTCTGCCTTACAGTGCACATCAGTGAATCCGGCACAATGCCCATAAAAGCAATTTG